TGACGCGTCAAGGCCATCATGGCCCTAACCTTCTGTAGGTTTGTATTCCAGAACGGAACCACAAAATTATTGTATAGAGACGCTCTTCCTTTAACAATCCGCCGTTTCCGTCTATTCACATCTTGTTTCTCTCCCTGTCCCCTTTCACCCACTCTCCGCATTTTCCAACTGTGCCTCCTCATTCCTTTCTTTTTCCTTCTTTCCAATCTACTTTTCACCTCTCTGCCACTCTCCCGGGCACTCTTCCTTGTGGCCATTGTTTACGTCGATGACACTCCTTGGGGCACACAAACTGAAGTTCTTCCCTCACTTCTTCCCCCCCCCATCTATCCCCCGCCAGTGTCAGCACACATCCCACAGGCAATGTTCATTGTGCTACATTTCATGCTTCCGTCATTTTCAGGGATTTCTCCCTCCAATGTATTTGCTTGCTTGCCCCCATCCATCCCTCGTTCTACCGTACGCCCATTCATGCTCATCGTTGCAGATCACTTTGGGTCAATCAGCTCAGCGGCACAATTCCTGCTGCAATATGCAACCTTACGCAACTGATATCTTTGTAAGCTCCCAACAAAGCACTTTGCTTATATATACTTCAGGCTCTTCTCCTCTCTTCTCTCCGCCGTTTCTACTGACCCATGCACTAAATTTCTACTCGCATCACCTCCGCTGAGTCGCTGACCCATGTCTCCTTCGCTGTATTCTTTGGTCTTGGTACTAGTAGTGTGCATGTTACTGGAGTCATGTGACTGTGGATTGCAAGGTAGAAGAGATTTGAGGGTGTGGAATGGCCACACGCACTGCAATGTCTGGTTACCACCTCTGAGTGCAGCCACGCTGCTGTCTAGAGCCGAGGTTTAAAGTGCCTGCAGGCTTAGATTTCAGGCAGTTGCCAAGCCAAGGCACTCGTACTAATCTTTTACGGCCTGTCTGCCCCCTTCCTCCTTGCTTCTCACTCGTCCCTCTCGATTGCTTTTCTTCATTCACCCTCCTCTATCTTTATGCTTTTTCTTACACCCTTTGGTGTTGCTCTTCTGATTCCTTCTCTAACCTTTCGTCCTTTCCAGTCATGTAACTTGAAAACCATTGCACTCATTTTGCACCCCTCCAGTCCTCTCGTCACACCTCTTTCCACAGGATTTCTCCTTTTCTCCTGATTCATTCCATTTCCTTTTTATCCTACCTTGGTTTCGCCTCTCTCCTCCCATCTCTCGCCACTCTCTTTCCAACAAACAACTCGTCTTTCTCACGTGTCTTGCCAACATCCATCTCCCGCTACTGTTAGCACAGCACACATTCAAACCTACCACGGGCAATGTCCATCGCACTGCCTTTCATCCTTCTGTTGCCTTTTTTGGGATTTTGCATCCCAATAGAGATCGCTTGCCCCTATCTATATTTTTTCCATGCAATATTGAGCTTCAGTATCTTCTTTGCGTGTCTGTTTTTGCTCCTTGTGGCAGGTATCTCTCTACGAATCAACTCAACGGCACAATTCCCAGTGCAATTTCCAACCTCACAAACCTGCAGATTTTGTGAGGCATAAGCAAATACTGGACACCAACTGGTTTGAGTCGAACATGGTCAAATTGGCCAGCGCAATCGAACCGAACCAGGCAGAGTGGCTCACATTTCAACGGAGAAGTCCTCGTGTTGGAACCAGAACCTGAAGGGGTTGCAGTCAAACTTCTGCAAGTCATCCTGAACCAGATGGGTGGTTATCACAAGGCCTTGCTTGGTTCAGGGAAAAGTTGTTCGCCTTGAACTGGTCCGGGCTTCTGTAGACCCATTAACTATCATTTTCTCGTCAGCTCCTTTTTCTCTCAATTAGCAGCCATCTTGCCTTCTCCTCTCCTCTCATGTGTTCTTCCCTCTCCTGTGCTCAATTTCCTGCGCAAATTATGATGTTCTTTGGCCCTGGCAAAGAACGCACCTCTCCTTGCTTCTCCTAACCCTATCTATCCTCTGCCATTATCAGCACAACTCTCACGGACAAAGTCCATCATGCAGCATTTCCTGCATTTGTTACATTGTCAGGAACTTTGCGTCAGGAACTTTGCCTCTGCCACTGGAGTTGCTTTGTTCTATCTCAGCTCGTTTCTATGTAATTTTACTCCATGAACCTCATGCGTGCCCATTCATCTTCATTGTTGCAGACATCTTCAATACAATCAGCTCACTGGCTCAATCCCTCCTGCAATTGGCATGCTTACAAACCTCAAAGGCCTGTAAGTAGGAATGAGGAAGTACCGAACCCGAACCAGTTTGGGTGGAACCTGGTCGAAGTGGCAGCATGAAGTGGAACAAAGCTTTGTGGAGGAGTAGAGGCAGGCATGAGCAAGGTGCAAAAACACGGCCGAAATTTTCAAATTCTGGATTAAAAACGGTATTGTATTTTGAAACCACAAGTGTATATCATCTTTTTAGGGATAGTTGTACCATAGATAGAATCAATTAATTGCTGGTTGGCGGATGCCGACATGCGACACGCCCAATTTTGAAGAATCAAAGTGCAAACCACAAGATTAAAAAAAATGACTGTAAAAAGTGGTGTTTTGCATGTCAACCTGTCGCACTATTTGCCGAGCAAGGTGAAATTTAAAGGTGCTTGTTTTGAGGTAATTTGTGTCGTGTTGAATGCGCATCTGTGTGCTTTTCGTTTTGGTATTTATGGTTTATGAATCGCCTTTGCGGCCATCGCTCGTTGCCATGCAATCTGGAGCTTCCTATATCTACCTCATACCCCTCCCTTCATTCATACTCATCGTTGCAGATTTCTTTCTGTCAATCAGCTCAGTGGCACAATTCCTCCAGAAATTGGCAGCCTTGCAAAACTAAACACGCTGTAAGCCCGTGATGCCAGGCCTTTGTTTGGCTGTACTCCAGGTTGTTCGCTGTAATCTCTACTCTCCGCCGTTTCTCTTCCTTTTGATGATAATCCCAAACCATTAGTTCCATTTCCCTCTCTTCCTTTTATCCTCTTGTATCAGCTCCGCTGACCACCACCCTCTCCCTCGCTGTATCCTGTGGTCTTGGGACTATTAGACATGAGCAATTGGGTGAATATTGTTATTTTCCTCTCGAACTTTATTTTGGGCAAAAATGTTTGACCAAAGCGCAATGGCACTGGAAGGGGAGGGTAGGGATGAGCATATGACGAACGCGAACATGTTCGCGCTCGTTTTAGCTCGAACAGGGCTGTTCGGCGAACCGAACACTTTTCACCAGAAAGGGTGTTCGAGGTTCGCCAAGAGGCGAACATTTCGTACGTTTTGGCGAACACGAACATGTTCGCCAAGAACATGTTCGCGTTCGCCTTTGAGGGGTTGGCACTACAGTTCTACAGAGTAGATAGAGGCTACGTTCTTAGTATTGAACATCGAAGTCACCATAATGCCTAAACGCCATAGTCAACTAAGTTCGGTTTAGCGCCTATGTTACTACTAGAAGGTGAGGGTGAGGTAGGTTGTTGTGGGGTGGGCGGGCTGTTGGGAGCGCTATGGTCGACAAGCTAAAAAAAATGAGCCCAAATGGTAAGGGCCGCGACCCTAAATTAGGTCGCGGCATTTTTGTCGACGAACATTTCCGGTGTTCGTCGACGTACGTGTCGAACACGAACATGTTCATGTTCGACGCGCCTCGGCACATCGAGGCGCGCGAACAGCGAACATGTTCACCCGAACGTCGAACATGTCCGGGACGAACATTTTTTGGCAAAAAAAATCCCGTTCGGCTCGTCTCGAACATGTTCGAGACGAACCGAACGGGTGTTCGCCAATATGCTCATCCCTAGGGGAGGGCCTCGAGGAGGAGGACACGAAGGAGGCTGTTGGGGGGGGGGGGGGTACGGGGATGTGGAGGGTGGAGATGGGGCTGAGGAGGGGGAGGGGAGGACTGCTCAAACCGAACACGGTCGTGTTCAGGTCGAACAAAAAAACAAACTAACAAACAAGCAAAAACAAAAACAAAAATAAAACAAACAAACATACAAACAAACAAACAAATGTTTGACTCAAACGAACGAGTTAGAGGGGAGTTCGAAAGTGTTCGACAGGAACACATTCGAGTCCAACCACTGCTCATGGGACTGGAGCCTTGTGATTGTGGATTGCAGGGTGGAAGTTATTTGAGGGTGTGGAAGCACACTCCTGTGTCTGTATGCAGACATGCACAAACAGCGAACACGCTCGTGGTCGGGTTTTTCTCATGCTTTCTTCAACCTTCTGTCCATTCCAGTCCCACACGCTCAGAAGCTTGCACGCTTCTTGCGCCCGTCACTTCCTCCTTTCATAGCACTTTCCACATCATCCCTTTGTTCCTCCTCATTCCTTTTCCTTTTTTTCCTAACCACTTTCTTTTCTGCCTCTCTCCTTCCTATCTACATGCAGCCACCCTCCTCACCTCTCCTGTTCCCATCTTTCCTCTGCCAGTGGCAGCACACATCCCATGGACAATATCCGTCGTGCTGCCTTTCATGCAAACTTGAGCTTCCTGCATTCATGTTCATCGTGGCAGAGCTCTTGCTAGGAATCAACTCACTGGCACAATTCCTGATGGAGTGGGGAACTTTGTAGACCTGAACTTCCTGTAAGCCCTCTGAAAGAACTTTTCTTGGCTTTACTCCAGTTTCTTCTCCTCTTTTCTACTCTCCACCACCACTTCTCCTTTTGTTTCCATGCATTCCATTGACCCCTCTTCCATTCCAGGACCTCAAACTCTTTGCATACTTCTTCCATCTTTCTTGATTCACAGCACTCTCCGCATCATCCATCTGCTGCTCCTCATTTCTTCGTTTTACATCGTTTTACCTCACTTCTTCCTCTTTAATACGCTCTTCCCCGTGGCCATTCTATATGTCGATGGCACTCCTTGAAACACACAAAGTGCACGTCTCTCCTCACTTCTCCTATCCCCAATCATCCCCTGTCAGTGTCAGCACACATTCAACAATGTCCACTGTGCTGCGTTCCATACAAACTTGGGCTCCCCGTTCATTGCAGATCATTTTTCCTCAACCAGCTCAGTGGCACAATCCCTGCAGGAATCAGCAACCTTACAAAATTGAGTACTCTGTAAGCCCCTATCGAGGTCTTTGCTTGGCTGTACTCCAGCTTCTTCCCCTCTTTGATGCTAGTCCACCATTTGTCCCCATTTTGATGCTTGTCCTTTCATGCATTCCATTGACCCCTCTTCCGGTTATTGCCACTTGCATCAGCTCTGCTGACCACCACCCTCTCCTTTGCTGTATGGTGCGGAACCATGTGATTGTGGATTGCAAGCTAGTGTTTCCTGGGTGTGGAACGACCACGCACTACATTGTCTGCGTGCAGACATGCACAAACAGCGAACTTAGTTTAACATGGCTTTTATTAACACCTCTGTGCCGGTTGGTAAGGGATAGTGAAGCCACACTGCTGTCCAGTCCAGGGTAAAAAGAAGAAGAAGAAAAAAACAGTTTTTTTATGAGATTTTACTGTAAACTGAGGTCTAAATTGTTCCAAGAGGTGATTTTTGTTTGAGATTGGCATTTTATGGGACCACATTGTTGGCGAAGATGAAGAGGACGAACCCTGTGTGCGTTTGTGGGCATGATTGAAAATGTATCCGACCTTGTTATTGCATTATTTTTTTCTTGGAGGAATGAATTCTCTAACAATGTACCGGCCGTAGTTTTGGAAATTACCGTATAAATTAATAAATATATGTTCTTTTAACCTTGCTGCTGTCTAGAGCCGAGGATTCACGCTCAGATCCAAGAAGATTGGCAAAGCAATCTGTTGAACCTTTTTGTATGCGTAATGGCTTTCTGCTTCATTTCCTCCTTGCTTCTTGTTCGTCCCCCATAATTGCTCTTGTCCATGTATCATCCCCCCACAAAATCTACACTTTTTAATTCGTGTAGCCCCCAGGTCTTCTCTAGACTAGGCTTGAGGAAAAGTCGAACACCTGTCTCTATCTTTCCCCGGTGTTAACACACATCTCACGGATAGTGTCCATCGTTCTGCGTTTCATGCTTCTGTTGCATTCTCAGGGATTCCGCCTTTCAATGGAGTTGCTTGCTCCTATCCGCTCCTAACATTAAGCTTCCTGTGTCTACCGCATGTGCATTCATGTTCATCGTGCCAGAGATCTCGCTAGCAATCAACTCACTGGCACAATTCCCTCGTCAGTGGGGAATCTTGCAAACCTGACATATCTGTAAGTTCCCTGAAACGCCTTTGCTTGGTTGTACTCCAGGTTGTTCTCATTTCTATTCTAGACATCAGCGGCTGTATGCTGTGGTCTTGGTAGTAGTAGTGGGATAGCCTACAGTGTCTGTCTACAGACATACACAAACAGTGAACTGAGTCTGAGAAGATTGTGGCTAACACCTGTGTGCCGGTTGGTAAGGGGTACGAGGGCCTGCTAGTGTCAGATTCTTGGCAATCGGCAAGGCACACTTCCAACCAGATGCAATTTCCTCCTTGCTTTTTGCTCGTCCCTCCTCAAGTCCCTTATCCATCCAATCCACCCTCTTCCCTCATTGTTTTTTCACACATCTCTTTGTGTTGCTCCTCCATTCCAGTTCTAGAACCTCAAAATCTCTGCATACTTCTTGCGTATTCCACCTTCACAGCCCTGTCTGCATCATCCCTCCATCCTTCCTCTTTCCTTCCTCTTCTTTCCTTCCTAATTACATTCGGGGTACTCTTGTGTATGTCGATGACACTCCTTGGGCACAGAAAGTCCACTTATTCTGGCCCCACCTATCCTCTTGCACACATCCCTCAGACTGTGTTTCATGCCTCTGTTGTATTGTTACGGATTTCGATTTCATGGAGTTGCATCCTTGCTTCTGTCCGTCACTCGTTGCCATGCAAACTTGAGCATCCCTATCTACTCATCATTGCAGAACACTTTCTTTCAATCAGCTCAATGGCACAATTCCTGCTACAATCGGCAACCTTGCAAGATTGAACATTCTGTAAGCCCCCAACAAGTCCTTCGCTTGGCTGTCTTCCAGGTTCATCTCTCCTCTACTTCCCCCCGTGTTTGTCTCCTGCTTTCGACGCACATGCACTCTATTTTCCTCTCTTCCCTTCAAATCCACTTGCATCAGCTCCGCTGACCACCACCCTATCTTTCTGCTCTATCCTAGTTTCGCCTTACTCCTCCCCTCTCCCGCTGCTCTCTTGCCCGTGCTCATTGCATTCATGCCTGTGAGGCATGCCCTTACTCTATCCCCAGCCAGTGTTAGCATACATCGCACCAACAATGTCTACGTGCTGCTTTTCTCATGGTTGTTTGCCTCCCAGTGGAGTTGCTTGCGTGTTCCTATCCATCGCTCGTTGCCTTGTTGTTCCTATCCATCGCTCGTTGCTTTGTTCCTATCCATCGCTCGTTGCCTTGTTCCTATCCATCGCTCGTGGCCTTGTTCCTATCCATCGCTCGTTGCTTTGTTCCTGTCCTATCCATCGCTCGTTGCCATGCAAAATTGAGCTTCTTATATCTGCCACATGCCGATTTATGCTCATCATTGCGCAGATCACTTTCTGTCAATCAGCTCAGTGGCACAATTCCTGCCACAATCGGCAACCTTGCAAAACTATACTCTCTGTATGTCCCTGGCAAGGCCTTTGCTTGACTGTACTCCATGACCATCAGCATGCTGCGATCACTTTCTATACTCGATGCTCGCTGCCATTTCACCTCCTTTGTATGCTTATCCCGACCATGCACTCCATTTTCCCCTCTTCCTTCGTATCCACTTGCATCTTCTCCGCTGACCACATTCCTTCCTTTTCCGTAATTTCTATCTACTTTCCTTTCCGCTGCTCTCCTTCCTATCTCTCCCCCCCCCCACCCTCTCCTCTCCCCCTCTTTCCTCTGCCAGTGGCAGCACACATCCCAAGGACAATATCCATTGTGCTGCCTTTCATGCAAACTTGAGCTTCCTGTGTCTGCCACATGCCCATTCATGCTCATCGTGGCAGAGCTCTTGCTAGGAATCAACTCACTGGCACAATCCCTGATGGAGTGGGGAACATTTCAGACCTGACTTTACTGTAAGGCCCCTGAAAGGACTTTGCTTGGCTCGGCTGAATTCCAGCTTCTCCTCCTCTCTACTCCCCAACACTTGTCCTCCTTTTGATGCTAGTCCTGACCCATGCATTCCATTTTCCCCTCCTCCTGACCTGTTCCGCTATGTCCACTTGCACCGGCTCCGCTGACCACCACCCTCTCCCCTGCTGTATGCTGTGGTCTCGGTACTAGTAGTGCGCACGCGACTGGAGCCATGTGACTGGGGGTTGCAACTTGCAAGATAGCAGTGATTCGTGGGTGTGGAATGACCACACACTACAGTGGCTGTCTGCAAACACGCACAAAGGCTTTAAGCAACGCGAGGGCCTCAACTACGCTGAGACATTTTCACCCACCATTCGCTTTGCTACGCTTCACGTGCTCCTCACCCTTGCTGCTGCCCTTGATCTTGAGATCTGCATCAACTCGACATCTCCAATGCCTTTCACCATGGCGACCTTGACAATATTATCTACATGACCCAACCACCCTGTTTTGATCTCCCTCCTGCTGACGGCTCTCCTCAAGTTTGCTCACTGCGCAAGTCCTTGTACGGCCTCAAGCAAGCGCCTCGGTGCTGTACAAAAAAACTGAAATCAGAGCTTCTCACTTTTGGCCTTCATACCTCCGATGCGGACCCCCTGCCTTTTCATTGCTGCACCCTCCTCGCCTCTTCTTCCTTATCCTTCCCACTTCTTCTGTAGATGACCTCATCATCCTTTCCACCACCATCACTCCACTTACCACTTTCAGAACTTCTCTGGCCACCCGCTTCAAACTTCGTGATCTTGGCCCATTAACTTATTACCTCGGTCTCCACTTAGTCCGCGACCGCTCTTCTCACACCCTCCTCATCCACCAGTCCAGATTTATTGCTGCACTCCTCTCTCCCTTCAATCTCAGCCACGCCAACCCCAGCCACCCCCAATGGACTCTAAGCTCCTCCTTCCGTCACACACCTCGTTGCCACCCTCTGAACCCTTTCCCACAATAGTTGCCACTCGCCCTGGCATAGCCCGTTCCACTGGAATCCTTTCGCGTCACCTCCTTTCTTGCTCGGATCCTCATTGGCTGGCTGCCAGACGTGTTTTTTGTTACCTCAATCTTCCCATGGGCTGCTACTTGATGCCATGGCAATCCCGCCTCCCTTCAGCTGGTTGGGTATTGTGAAGCCTCATGGGCTTCTGAAAGTGAGGATCATCGTTCCCTCACTGCACACCTGTACTTTCTCGGTTCTTCTCCGATTTCGTGGCAATTTAAGCGGCGACGTCTTGTTTCGACATCCTCTTGTGAGGCTGAATACTACGCACTCGGTGCGGCAACCCACGAAGCCCTTTGGCTCCGCACTCTTCTCTGCTCTCTCGGCCTTCCCCCCACTGGTCCCACCCTGCTGCTTTGTGACAACACTAGCGCGCCATTGCCTTGGCAAAGGACGCTGGTGTTTTCCATGCCTGTGCCAAACACATCAACATCCGCGACCATTTCCTCCGTGGTCATGTTGACAAAGGGCATATCTCACTGCACTACATCCCTAGCTAGCTGTGACAGCCTCGCTGATTTGGAGACCAAGCCTCTCCCTTGTGACACGCTTCAGCATCCCCAGTCCTGCATCGGCTTTCGCCCTGCTACTTCTTCAGTTCACTAGTGTATTTATGAGTTATATGTGTCTGTTTACATTACAGTAATGCAGACATTAAGGGTTGGGCTATATTAGTTATAGGCTGCCCCCTGTGTGACTTTATCAAGCGCTAGGCACCCCACCAAATTCGGCTGTGGGGCACCTCAGCACGTTTCCCAACCTTGAGGCCACGGCTCCAGCTTGGACCCACGGATTTCAACATTTGAAACGCGGCTCCAGCTTGAAATTCGCTTTTCCAATTCGTGCAATCGCGGTTACACTAAAAAGGGCGCTTTCTGGCGCAGTTTGAGGGTCCCTCACGTCCCCATCTTGACTGTGGGCGACTTGAGACTGGCCAACCCAAGACCCTTGAGTACCAATATTCTCACCTGGACTAGCCCAAGTCGCCTCCAAGCTAGCTCTCTTCGGTCTCGGCATAATTTAACTTATGTTCTGCTTGTGTCCATTAACTTGCTGCCGTAGAACCTTTCAGCATTTCAGATTCAGCTTCTCTTTGTGCACATTGGTTCTGTATTTCTAGACTGTACATCGATCGCACTCCTTGGGGCACAGAAAGTGCACTTATTCTGTCCCCACTTATCATCTGCCTCCCAATATCAGCACACATCCCACGGACAGTTGTTCATGCCTCTGTTGCGTGCTCAGGGATTTAGATTTCCATGGAGTTGCGCTTTTGCTTCTGTCCTTCACTCGTTGCCATGCAATCTTGAGCTTCCTATATTTACCACATACCCCTTCATACTCTTCGTTGCAGGTCACTTTCTTTCAATCAGCTCAATGGCACAATTCCTGCTGCAATCGGCAACCTTGCGAAGCTGAAATCTCTGTAAGCCCCCAACAACGCCTTCACTTGGCTCTACTCCCCCCCATGTCTCCTGCTTTCGACGCCCATGCACTCTATTTTCCTCTCTTCCTTCAAATCCACTTGCATCAGCTCTGCTGACCACCAACCTATCTTTTTGTTCTTTCCTAGTTTCGCCTTACTCCTCCCCTCTCCCGCCGCTCTCTTGCCCGTGCTCATTGCACTCATGCCTGACAGGCATGCCCTTACTCTATCCCCAGCCAGTGTTAGGATACATCGCACCAACAATGTCTATGTGCTGCTTTTCTCATGGTTGTTTGCCTCCCAGTGGAGTTGCTTGCGTGTTTCTATTGCTTCGCTCGTTTCCATGCAAACTTGAGCTTCTTATATCTGCCTCATGCTGATTTATACTCATCGTTGCAGATCACTTTCTGTCAATCAGCTCAGTGGCACAATTCCTGCTGCAATCGGCAACCTTGCAAAACTAACCACTCTGTATGCCCCTGGCAAGGCCTTTGTTTGGCTGTACTCCAAGTTGTTCTACTCTATACTCTCCAGTGTTTCTTGCTTTTGATGCTAATCCCGACCCTCCTTCGCTGTATGGTCTTGGTACTAGGCATGAGCAAGTGGGCGAACCCCTGTTCGGTTTGACTCGAACATTTTTTTGGGGCAATAAGGTTCGACCCAGCATATGTGTTCCGGTCGAACATGTTCAAGTTGAACACCTGATCGGGTTGAACCGAACGGGTGTTGGGTTTCTACCATAAGTTTCGGTCGTACATGTTGCTGTTTGACCTGAGCATGTTCGTTTCAGTTCGCCTGTCAGTGCCAAGCCCCGTCAAACACAAACACATCACTGTGAACTCACGTTACTTCACAGCCACTCCTGGGAGAGGCAGTCAGGCATTCAGGCAGTCAGCCACTCCTGCAGATTTCATGGTTTTTGGCAGTGCAACAGCAGCAGAATATTGCCAAAACGTGAACAGGAACATCTTTTTCCCCGAACCGTTCACCTACAAGGGCAAACATTCAAACAACAGATTTCGGAAAAGTGTTTGGGGTGAACCGAAGAACAAGTTCCTTCGCCCTCTACACATGTTCAAGATGTGTTCGGAACAAACATGTCCGTGGTCAAGTTTTGCTCGTGCCTTCTTCGACCTTCTGTCCCTTCCAGTCCCCCAACCTCAGAAGCTTGCACGCTTCTTGCATCCGTCTCTTCCTCCTTCCAAAGCACTCTCCTCCTCTGTTCCTCCTCGGTCCTTCCTTTTTCTTTATCTCCTGTCTACTTCTTTTTCCGCCGCTCTTCTTCCTCACGTGGCAGAGATTTTTCTAGGAATCAACTCACTGGCACAATTCCTGATGGAATGGAAAACTTTGCAGACCTGACTTCACTGTGAGTCCCCTGAAAGGACTTTGCTTCGCTTGGCTGTACTCCAGCTTCTTCTCCTCTTTACTCTCTACCACTTTTCCTTATGGTGCTTGTCCTGACACCCTTTTGGTACGAATAGTGCGCATGGGGGGGGAGATGTGATCTGAGGGTGTGGGGTGACCTCACATTGCAGTGTCCGTCCGCAGACATGCACAAGTATCAAACTGTCTGGCACAGGAAGCCACACTGCTGTCTAGAGCCAAGTGTTCTAGCTCAGATTTGGGGAATTTGGCACAGCACCCTTTTGAACCTTTTTTTTTATGCGTAATGACTTTCTTCTCCATTCATCCTTTGCTTCTTGCTTGTCTCTTGTGGTTGATCTCGTTTATTTAGCCTCGAACCACAATTTTTCTACACTTTTCAATTCGTCTAGCCCTTATTTCTAATCTGGACTAGACTTGAGCAAAATTCGAACACCTGTCCCTATCTATCCCCTGCAAAAGTTAGCACACATCCCACGGACAGTGTCCGTTGTTCTGTAATTCATGCTTCTGTTGCATTCTCAGGGGTTTCGCCTTCCAATGGAATTGCGTGTTCCTCTCCGCTCCTAATTGCCATGCAACATTGTTCTTCCTGTGTCTACCGCATGTGCATTCATGTTCATCGTGCTAGAGATCTTGGTAGCAATCAACTCACTGGCACAATCCCTGCTTCAATGGGGAACTTTGCAAACCTGACGTATCTGTAAGCTCCCTGCAAGTCCTTTGCTTGGCTGTACTTCAAGTTGTTTTCCTCTCTACTCTCCACCATTTCCTTTCCTTCTGATGCTAGTCCTGATCTATGCACTTTGTTTTCCTCTTTTCCGTATTCCACTTCACAGCCCTGTCCGCATTATCCCTCCATCCTTCCTCATTCCTTCTTCCTTCCTTCCTATCTACATTCCAGATACTCGTCTGTACGTCGATCACACTTCTTCGGCACACAAAGTGCACTTATTCTGCCCCCACGTATACTCTGCCAGTGTCAGCACACATTCCACGGACTGTGTTTCATGCCTCTGTTGCGTTCTCAGCGATTTTTATTTCCGCATAACCCTTCATACTCATCGTTGCAGATCACTTTCTTTCAATCAGCTCAGTGGCACAATTCCAGCTGCAATCGGCAACCTTGCAAAACTAAAAACTCTGTAAGCACAAAAAAAAAGCCTTAGCTTGGCTGCACTCCAGGTTCTTCTCCTCTCTACTCCCCGCCGTTTCTCCTCCTCACTGTTTCTCCTCCTTTCATCACCCACGCACTCTATTTTTCCCGCTGACCGACCACCCTATCTGTTTATCCCATTTTCGTTTCGCCTGACTCCTCCCCTCTCCCACCGCTCTCTTGCCCGTGCTCATTGTATTCATGCTTGACTTGACAGGCATAGGAATTGTCTTTCTCATGTCCCTATCCATCCCCTGGCTGGCATTGTCACCACACATCTCACCCCACCACGGACAATGTCCTTCACACTTCCTTCCAAATCTGACCTCCCTGCATCTTCTCTTCACGCCTGCTCCGCTCATGCTTATCTTGGCAGATATCTCTATACTAATCAACTCACTGGCACAATTCCCACTGCAATGGGCTACCTCACAAACCTGCAAATCCTGTGAGGCATAAGCAATTACTGGACCCGAACCGGTTTGAATCGAATCAGCTGTGGTAGTCAAACCAAACTACCTTCTTTTCGGCCAAACCAGCCGGAAGAGCTCAAGTTCCAACTTAAAGCCTTCATGTTCAAACATGATGGGGTTCGAGTCAAACCTCTGCATTTTCTCCTGAACCGTTCCGGGTCCGAAACAAAACCCCCATCATGTTTGAACATGAAGCGAGTGCGTGAACTGTTCCGGGTTTGAAACAAAACCCCCATGATGTTTGAACATGAAGCGAGTGGGTGAACTGTTCCGGGTTTGAAAAAAAAAACCCATTTCGTGCGGATTGGTGGGCATAACAGCCGGTCCGCCTCTGCTAGTCAGTCGTTCGACCCATCCGGCAGGGCTGCCTACAAAACCGGGCCGAACCAGGTTCGGCCCTTCCCGGGCCGGGTGAGATATACCTAGGTCTGGTCTGGCCATATCTGGTCTGGCAAACAACGGGCCTACCCGGGTTGCTTCGAGTACAATCACAAAAAGGAAAATGTGTTGTGTAGGAATCCTAAAACGTTATCTTTATGTAATAAGATTCAGGTAATCTTAACCCTGGTACAAAAATGTCAAAGTTGCTCGCCACTGGTTTTGTAATCCCTAAAGTGCAACATTGACAGAAGTTGATTGACAAGATCTAGAAACTGACATGCTTACCTTTGTCCGATTCTTAGATCTGACAATGGTTAGTGCGCTGCTTGGGAATTCTAGTTTCAGTGCGGTGAAGGTCGGTTGGGAGGCGAAATTTGATTGGTTTGGCGAAATAGTTGGGGTACGGGGTAGGCATTTCACCAAGTTAATGAGCTACAGTTTGTGTGAACATAAAACTTAGAGAGATCTTGAATGAGCTCCAACTTCCAATCAGTGGATCTATATGGTACCGTGCAAGAAATGGCTCACAGGTCCACCTACTGTAGTGTGACTTTTGAGTCGACTCAAATGTGTCTGTCTGCAGACATGCAATACGTGCAGAGTCTGGTAAACACCTCTGTGCTGAGAGTGAAACCACATTGCTGTCTAGAACTCATGGTTTGAGTGCCTGTTCAACTCACTGGTTATCCCCGTTGGAATCAGCATCCTCACAATTACAACACAGCAAAACCCAACTACACAATTCTAGGATATAAAAGGTTCACGTACAATGCATGATATTAAAGTCCATCCCTAGCAGCTTGCGCTCCAGTCTCTGTTCCTCTTCTGTCCACAATTTCTCCCTCCTCTAGATGCTAGTCCGTACCCATGCTCTCCATTGATCCCTCTTCCTTGTTATCCTCTTCTATCTTGATTTTCCTATCCTCCCCCCGGCAGTGCTCTGTCCCGCAACTACCTCACGGGGCCCCTGGTGAACCTCCCGCCCATCCGAGTGGACCTATCTGACAACTACCTGTCGGGTGTTGTGTCCGCACCAGACTGCCAGCGCCACTCTATCGCAGCCAACTGCTTCACGCCAAGCAAAACCTGCAATCCTGAGTTGCAGCGGCCAGCAGCACAGTGCATAGCGTTCTGTGGCATCTCTTCAACCACTGCTGCCTGTGGTGGCCGCGGCGTGTGCTACCCAGACGGGCCCAGCTTGGTGCCAACGTGCTTGTGTGGTGCGGGATTCTTGCGGCTTGGAAGATTCAACTGCAGTCCAGGAGGTGATGAGCGATTGTATTGTGCTTTCAGAGCATTAAAGCACTGGCTTTAAGGACCTCACAGTCTTTGTGCTCATTCCCTTATGCGCTCCGTAGCCATTTCCTCTACTTTCTAATTTGGGCGCAATGGTTGTTAACCCACGATTTGTTCCAATTTCCCCATATTGCTCATGCTTCTTGAACTCGTTCCATGACTGGTGACACACACACAAAATCACCTTGCACGGGCACAGTATCTAGAGGGTTTTGACCAAGTGATCTGGTCTGCACAGCTCAACACACAATTTCCCTTGCTCCTCCACTCCCACCCTTCCACTCTCCAGTCCCCCCAAGGAGCATCCTCCCACCATTCGCGATTCTGACCAAGGGCACGAAGAAAGAGACTGCGGGAAAGTTCGTGGCGAAGCCAGTGACTTTGTTTATGTATCAGCCTGGTGTAACTTCAGGATGCGGCTTGGAGTTGGCCTTCAAAGTGAACTTCACCTTTGCTCTCGTGCCCCAGTCTGGCACTGCCGGGTCCAACGGCTTCGCATTTGTGATTGCAGCAAAGCCCAAGGTGGGGAAGCCTGGTGGTGTGGGGTACAGAGGAATGGGTCCTCGGAGCATGGCTGTTGTCTTCGACACGCTTCAGAGTGATGCGGGCGAGCAGCACGTGGGGCTGAGCGTTAACGGCACAGAAGAACCCTTGGTCAAGGCGGTGTCTCCATTCACGTTCACCGATGGCAGTCCGTACACTGTGTGGGTGGATTATGAGCCTGGTGCTCCCAACAGCATTCAAGTGTTCCTGGCAAAATCATACGTGAAGCCAGTGGAGCCGCTGCTGCAGGGGAAGGTGTCGCTGTGTGCGGTGCTGCAGCCTGGAGTGAAGCAACCAGCGTTCTCGTTTGGCTTTGTGGCGTCCACCACTGTGAAGCCCTTCCAGCTGCAAGGCATTTACTCCTCCGCTGTGCAAACAGGCAAGGTTATTTCGTCAAGTGTGGGGGTGATGCTGAATGCCTTGATGATGATGGGGTGCGGCATGCAAGCACAATAGTTACTTTGTGATTGCTGGTTCATACCGTACCTGAAATCTGCCCGTTTGGCCCGAACCAGTTCAGGTTTGGTTCGTCCACCTGGCTGGTTTGACTCGGTTCACCTGGAACCAATTCGGGTTTGAAAATTGCTCATGCCTCTTGCCACTGCTCCCCTTTCATGTGCTCTCCTTGTCCAAGGCCCATCCAGCACTCTATGGCCTTAGTGCTTCTCTTTCTCCTTGTGTCTCTCTTCACAGGCGCTCCGTCACCCAAGCCAGTCCAGCTCAGTGAGCAAGGTGAGCTCCCTGAAATGTGGCATCCAGAGCCTAGAATGGTGTTTGACAACCTGCAGATTCTATTCTTGAATTGTTTAATTTGTTTAGAATGGTCTAAATACTGGCGTGTACCCAACATCGTCCATACTTTTTCACCGTGCCATTGTGGTCCATTATTAGTGAGCTGCAATTTCCCCTGATAGTCTACCACCACATGATCCTACCTGGCTACCACCCTGGGTCGTTAGGGAGGGCAAATAGGGGTTCTAGGCTATTCACTTCTCTGCCTCGCCCAGCTGGGAGCTCTTGTGGAGTGGATTGCACCACTATTCGGATCTTAGGACGTGTCACCTCTAGCCATTTTGCATGATTGATCGCAGGATTGGTGATTGCACCGCACTGAAATCCTGCTGATTGCGTTAACAGCTTTCAGCACCATTTTGAATTCCTTCAAATTGTGATCCTGCACAGGATTACCGCTACAGCTGACGCGTCCTTACCAGTTGGATAATTCAGCCGATCTTATTGGGGATTGTCCCCCGACCCTTTCCAGCTCATCACTGGTATTCTCAAGAAACCTTCACAGCAACCTCAACTACTCTCCCCATTCACATCCTTCTATCTATACGTCCAACCTATGCCCCCCCTCACAGCCCTTGGCCTCTCACTGTCAGAGGCCACATTCGCACCGACTCGAGCCAGTCCCTTTTCGCGCTATGTGAGTGCGGACTTCAAGCTGTCGGCCACCAAAGCGGATTCGTGGAGCATTCGTGATTTCCACACGTGGGACTCCGTGCCCTTCCTCAACTGGCCTGTCAAGAACCAAAATGACTGCAGTGAGTAGAAATAGACTCGCAAGTCCACTTCAGTATCTGAACTGCTTTTCCAATCCATTATGCTGTCGGTGTTTACTAAACGTTTGCAACAACAAAGTTGTTAACTATGAATTCTGGCAATCCTTATTCGCTACCATTTGCACTGATCATTGTAGTCTGTACTGCGTTCACGCAGCAATTGCCAATGAATCTGCATTTTTTAAGTAGAATGCTCGCATGTCAAGTCAAGTACGGCACATTCAGAGCAATTAAATGGAGAAGCGGGGATGGGAACACGACTTTATGAGAATCTACTCGGATTGTGTGGAAACTGGATTGACTAGGTTGTCAAATCTATACTTTACCCCCTTAACATAAATTCGTAACCCAAACACATGAAACGTGCAGCCTATCTTCATCACTCCGTTCTTATTGCTCGCTTCACCTTGCTTCACCTTCGCCTTCCTCTCAGGTGCGTGCTGGGCGTATGCAGTGGTGGCGAGTGTAGAGGCGGCATACGGCATTGCCAAGCAGCAGAGCGCCCCTCAGCTATCAGTGCCCTCGCTCTTCGCCCTCATGGGGCTCTCCGACTCCGACAAGTGCTCTGCTGGCGGCTCCCCCACGCAGGCCTTTGAGACGCTCACAGCTCTCGATGCCTCCAGTGGGCTCACAGCGGCCAGCGACCCGGTAGGGAGCATGAGGACGTGGTATGGTATGGTATGGTAAGATATATTGGTGTCAGCTTGGGGAGGGTAAATTACTTTCCTTGCTTGCCCTTTCAGAATTCCGGAATGATAATGAAAGCAACTCAGCTAACCAGCTAGGGAGGTCTATGCTCATAAATTTACAGCTATTTCATCGAGGTCTAAATCCAGAAAATCGATGCTGATTTATTGAGGCATCGTCTGACATGGTGGAAAGATTATTATTGTTTTGCTCATAGCCTGCCTCGCATTTTTTTTGCTCGTTCTTTCTCAGGAGGGACGAGTGTGTTTACCCCTTCTCTAGTTTCAGAAATTCTTCAAACCTCCCCTTACCCACCCCAATCTCATCCCCAACCCCAACCCCACCTCTTCCCACCTGCAATCTCGTGCCTCCAGGCAACAAGGTACCCGGTGCAGGCGTTTGAGCGAGCACAGTTCAAGGGGTATGTGGGGCTCATGCTGGCAGTGCAGCGGCAGCCAGTGGTGGTTCACATCGAGGCGTCTGCTCCAACCTTCATGCAGTATGATGGGGTGAGTCGCTGCACCTCTCGCTCGGTACTGTGCCTACCGTGTTGTGTGGTCCTTGTGTCACCTGAATGGCTGTCGCATTCACTGGTAGACGAGTCCCATCACTTAAGTATTTAATGGTAGACGAGTCCCATCACTTAAGTATTCACTGGTAGACGAGTCCCATCACTTAAGTATTCACTTGTAGACGAGTCCCATCACTTAAGTATTCACTGGTAGACGAGTCCCATCACTTAAGTATTCACTGGTAGGCGAGTCCCATCACTTCACTGGTAGCATCACACCTGGTTACAGCTTCACACCTGTTTACAGCTTCACACCTGGTTACCAGCTTCACACCTGTGTGAGTGTTCTTGTTAAACTCCCCCTTTCTGAATGTTCTGCCCCCATCTCACTTCAGACCTATAAATACCAGGATCCTGGATGCTACACAGGCAGTCTCAACCATGTTGTGCTCGTTATTGGCTACTTCATCACAAGAAACGATGGCAGCCAGAACCGCATTGCTCCTCCGTTTTGGATCATCCGCAACTCGTGGGGAGAGGAGTGGGGCAACAGGGGCCACATGCGCATGGACATTCAGGGAGGGGATGGCGTGTGTGGCATCAACGTGCTGCCTGGCATCTACCCCATTGTCAAGAGTAAGGCATCTACCCCATTGCCAAAAGCAAGCCATATCTGCTATGGCAGAGTATTAAGTCAAGGCAAATGAAAGAGTATTAAGTCGAATGCCAAGAGGCGAAGAGAACGTGCAAGAAGCGCGTCAAACGATGCAGCTGCTGAGCAGATGCAATAAAAGAACGGGGATTAAGGTCGGAAAGGTAAGATTCTGAAAGGAGGCAGCGAAGAATGTAGAGAACGAATGGGGTAGGTAGGTAGGTAGGACTGGAATAGCAGTACTCTAGCAAGCTGATGAAAGCTGTAATTACTTTCACTACAGGCGATTCATAGCGTCAAGCTTGGTAAGAACAAACGCACTTGCTACTGTGGCGTTTAGCAAAGTGGCAGGAGCTGTGCCATCTCTTTCCTTCAGGCTTGTTTGTCTGCTGTTAGTGTCTGCTGTGTACCTCCATCATCATTTTCTTCAAGTGTATCCTGTGTAACACCTTTCAGTTCCTGCAGACCCCTGCGGCCAGAGCAGCTACAAGGGCGATGGGGATTTGCAGCCCAGCATGAACCCGTGTGGCCGGTTCCAGTGCCAGGCGACGGCAGAAAGAAGCAATAACTGCACCTGCAATATTCCTACTGCTGCTGTGCAGCCCTTTGTGGAGGTTGCAAATGGAATTGGCTCCACTTGTGCTTATGGTAAGATCAGTGGCAGATCAAAGGGTGAGTGGAAGGGCATGTAGTTTGGTCTTACACTGAAGTATGTCGTGCTGTTGTAGCATTCAGGCGTTTTCAAGTTTATGCAGACGTTTTCAAGTGTAAGCAGACGTTTTCAAATGTGTGCAGATTGTGCCACAGAGAGTGAGGGCAATGAGGAGAGCGAACAAGACTCCTATAGGACCCTGGTTCTCTACATACTGTTTTTTATCATTCTCAAAGAACAGATTCACCCTGGTGCTCTACATACTCCTGCCTGTCTTCGATGTGTGTTAGAAGCCCGCCAGAGGTGGCTGGAATGTGTAGACCTTATACCCCTTTTTCTTTTCCAATGTTCACCCTCAATTTCATTTATATACCAAAGTTCGCCTCTTATCACTGTAATATCCGCCCTCCCCGGAACACGTTTGGCAGTGGACGTGTGTGGGTCATACTTCAAGAACCCCTGCTACGTGGGAGCATGCATCAATGATGGCAAGGGCTCCTACTCCTGCATCTGCCCTCCCAACCACGTTCCCAGCACAACTGTTGACGGCTTCCCCACCTGCGATCCAGGTAAGGCACTTCAATATGTCCATTGGTCTCAGTCATTGGTGAATGTGCTCCATTGGTAACCTCTGCTTGCTTGGTGGGGCTAGCATCTTCTATTCCCCCAATCCTGTTCCTCTTCCTTCAAATCTTCAGTGGATCCTTCTCTCCCTCTCACTCCGTGCCTCTATCTCACTCTGCGTTCTGCCTGTAGCTAATACCACGGCCACCACAATGACAGTCAGTGGAGGCAACTGGTGGTGCTCGGATGTTCATCCCCTTGTTGGCCTCTCACTGACTGACTTCACTGACCAAAATTCAGTGAGTGAAGAGGGGGTTGGAGAGGTATGAGCCGTCGTCATTCCGCTTTGTATTGCACTCCTTTCACCCTCCCATCAACACGCAGATGCTCTGCTCTCCACTCTTTCTTTCACCGGACGAATCCGAGAATGCTGTATTGAATACTGAGGTGTGCGAACCTCACTCTCTCCAGGACCTAGTGAAGAGAGGAGGCCTTTCCTGTGTACAATATAGTACAGAGTTCTCATTTATGCACGTTTCTCCCAATGCAGGGCATCGACTGCAGCCAGCCATTGCCCAAGGGCAGTGTCCTTCAGCTCGCTGGTACTCCCGCCACACCCTGCACTGCCTTCTTCTACTCCCTCAACGTGAGACCTGCCGCTTTCTTGCCCACACCACAACATGCACTCGACCAACTCGCGTAGACAACTCAACGCATCCCAAGCACCCGGAAAATGTCGCTAAGCACATCGCAGGCACCAATCATCACTTTTCCTGCCTCTGTTCAACCCTCCAGGGGGACACCTGTGCATCCATCAGCACATTGCTCAACTTCAATTTCGGAAATCTCGCCCCTCTCAACCCGGGCCTTGACTGCTCCAAGCCCATCAAGGCGGGCCGCTCCGTGTGCCTCGAGCGCAGTGCTGCCTTCGCCTTCACCGTGCCTGAGTGTGTCCGATACGGCACGCTCACACCTCAAGACACGTGCGAGCAGCTGCTGCAAAGGACCGGCAAGAGCGTGCCCCCTTCGGAAGCCAATCCCAATGACAATTCACCAGGGGGTGCCAGTGAGAATCCATGGGCTGCGCTGTACCGCAACAATCCCGGCCTCACTTGCGCTGCCACCATCCCTTCCTCTGCCTCTGCTGTCGGCAGCAACATCGGTGTACAGGTGAGGATTGTGAGGCTGAGGGGATGTGCCTTATCGCCTTTGCATCTACTGTGCATTCCTTGTTAGTCTACTCCAGTTCACCGACGCCCTTGTTGGTTCACGAACCTCTATCTCATCCCATGCGTCCTATAATTCCAGGTTTGCCTCAGGGCAGAGTATTGGCCGTTCACGATGGGTTTATGCAAGAAGGGTAGAGCCAAGCCTGTCCAGAGGACAATGGCTTGCTCAGCTGCTTACAGCTTCTACGGTGGGCCTACCTCAACAGCAATCGCACGGTTTTATGAGTACAATGGTAGGTCTTGCTCTGGTACTGTAGCAGATAAGTCCATTTGTGTGCCATAGTGATTTGAAGTGATGTCCAACTACCATGTTCCACTTTTGAAATTAATGGCTCCAATCCAAGGTAACTTCAAAAACGCTAAGAAGACATTGTGAAGGACGTTTCTGGATATCATGAAACATGGTGATACTTTAGTAAACTCAGAGTTAAATACTAGAACAGTGCAAATATGAAGAGTCTCCTTAGAAAATGCAAAAAATGGTACGGCTTGCATTAATCGTACTTTTCATGGTGTGACTATACTTTTTCAATTGAAAGACCTAAAGGTTTTAGAGCGTGTTCCTACGGGGCCCTCGTCAGATAACCTCTAGTCAGACTCGCCCCAATCACAACCGTCATCGCCCGGATATAAGACATATATGTCTTATCTCGTACACAGGCAAAAATGCTTCAGTTATCTTGTAAACGGGATGGTTTAGGGTGTCTTATAAGTCTTATAAATGGACAAAGAACCGTTTAGAAGATACCCCCTCGCTATACATTTGCCCCTAACTCCTACACTTTCTTAACCCGTACACACAAATAGGTGTCTTATAATGAGGCTAGCCTGTTTATAAGAGACACCCGTATAATAGACAACCCCTGTCTACTATTCAACACTGTCTTATATCCGGGCGATGACGGAAGTTTCTCAGTGTAAGGCGAATTCGTATTGGACGCTTTTATAGTCTCGCAACGTGCGTGAAAAAATCTGGCTTGGGTGATGTGGCACGTGGATCGCGAATAGCTTTCCTGTACTGCCTGAGCATCGGGGAAAGGGAGCAGAAAGTTTGAGAAAAAAACGTCAGGGACCGAATTTTACATTGTGGCATCCCAAAGAATCGTGAACAAGTTGTTGGTGCCACAATACAAATGTTGCCCGCAAGAAACCAAAATTGTAGCCCCATTCTCGATAAAATAGACCTGTGTTAGCACATGTTCAGCGCAGGGTCTCCGTGTAGTTTGCTGATGTGGCGCGATTGAAAGGTTTCGCGCACGCGGATTCTAATCGTGCAATACAAGCCTCATATTCGGTTTTTATAAAGAAAATCTCTAGTTTGCACAAATCTGATATGGGGTAGGCTTGACAAGAGGCCATAGGAACACGCTCTTATATGCCGCTTCCCTTCCCCCCTCACCCCCCCGATACAAGCGCCCCGGGGGATCGTACCGTCATACCCCGGATATACCCCCATGGGGGGCACTAATAAAACGTGTTTTTTTTTTTTGGTGGGCTTATAATATAGTAAATTTATAAGCGCCGGCGTTTATATTATGCCAAAATGAAATTTGTTTTTAAATATACCAAATCGAAGCATTCACAAAGGCGAATTCACCTGAGTCGAGAACGTTCGGCACGGTGCATGCTATGCGCGTGAAACGGCCAACAAGGCGTGGCAACACGCCTTCCACGCCTTGTTGGCCAGGCCAGGTTCATCGAACGTGAACCTGGCCCATGCCTGCGCACACGTACCTCGCATCACAGCGGCCCAATCAGGGTTGCATGCGATCGTGGGCACGTCGTGGTTCAGCCACGGCGTGCCCATCAACAAGAAGATTCCCTGCCACCGAGGCAAAGAGCTGCCCAGCTCAGCTCCTCTGCGGGGAATCTTGACTGTGGCCACAATTTCCCCGCAGAGGAAGCCGGGCCGCGAAACTGAAGGGGTCTCGGGCGAGGGTTTCATTACGGCCTCATTCTCAACTTCTGATTCAGTTTTCTTCACTCGTTTGGCCTGCCGTGGCCATGGCCGACGCATTTCTTGTTCTGCCGCCAACCTGCTGCTAGAGAAAGAACCCGCCAAGACACCAGTGACTGGTCTCAATGGCAGAGGTGTCAAAAATATGCTGCATATTGTCTAGGCTGTAGTGGGGTAGCCCATATGGGGTACAACCCAATTAGGGTTTACTACTTGTACTCCTGCATGCTGTTAGTTCATTCATTCCTGCTGCTAGATTCTAACATGGTTTCAGAGCACTAAGGTCCGTAGGACCGTTTTTTTTTTTTTTTTTTTTTTTTTTTTCAGCCCACCTACCGCTGCGGTTACCGCGCTACCCCACGTACCTGCCTGCCTTGCCTTGCCTTGTGACGTGCTGCACTACGGGCGGCGTCCAGCAGCCCTAGCGCTGCCTCCTGCTGCCCTAGGCCAGCGCGCTGCCCCTGCAGGCCCGTAAGGCCCGCGCGCCGCTCCTACTGGCCCTTCAGGCCTGCGAACCGCCCCTGCTGCCGCGCGCTGCCCGCACCGAGCCCGCGCAGCCCGCGCCGAGCCGCGCGCAGCCCGCTGCTGCCGCGCGCTGCCCGCACCGAGCCCGCGCAGCCCGCGCCGAGCCGCGCGCAGCCCGCTGCTGCCGCGCGCAGCCCGCGCCGAGCCCGTGCATCCCGCGCCGAGCCGCGCGCAGCCCGCTGCTGCCGCGCGCAGCCCGCGCCGAGCCCGCGCAGCCCGCGCCGAGCCGCGCGCGGCCCGCTACTGCCTCGCGCGGCCCGCAGCAGCCCCCGCTGAGCCGCGCGTGGCCCGCTACTGCCTCGCGCGACCCGCGCGCGGCCTGCAGCAGCCCAGCGCGCTGTCAGCGCAGCCCGCGCCGAGCCGCGCGCGGCCCTCTGCCTCGGCCCCGACCTGCCGCTGATGCGGCCCCGCCCTGCAGCTGCCACGGCCCCGACCTGCCGCTGATGCGGCCCCGCCCTGCAGCTGCCGCGACCCCGACCTGCCGCTGCCGCTGAAGCGGTTCCGCCCTGCAGCTGCCGCGGCCCTACTCTGCAGCCGCTGTTGCGGCCCCGCCGTCGCCGCCATCGTACGCCTGCCGGCCGCCGCCCGCCGAGCGCCGGCCCTGCTCGCCCGGCGAGCGCCTGCCCTTCCAGCCTTTGGTGAGCACCTGCCTGCCTGCCTGCCTGCCGGCCTGCCTGCCTGTCTGCCGGCCTGCCTGCCTGTCTGCCTGCCTGCCTGCCTACCGGCCTGCCTGTCTGCCTGCCTGCCTGTTGGCCTGCCTGCCTGCCTGTCTGTCTGCCTGCCTGTCTGCCTGCCTGCCTGTCTGCCGGCCTGCCTGTCTGCCTGCCTGCCTGCCTACCTGCCTGCCGGCCTGCCTGCCTGTCTGCCTGTCTGCCTGCCTGCCTGCCTGCCTGCCGGCCTGCCTGCCTGTCTGCCTGCCTGCCTGCCTGTCTGCCTGCCTGCCTGTCTGCTTGCCTGCCTGCCTGCCTGCCTGCCGGCCTACCTGCCTGCCTGCCTGCCGGCCTGTCTGCCTGCCTGCCGCGCCTGCCCGAGCTGCCCGAGCTGCTGCTGCTACTCCTGCTACTAGCAGGTGGTCAGATGCAGCTCTAGCGTCGTTCCCGCGAGTCTCTCACGCCCCAGCAGCTTAGTGAGTGGTATACTAGTTGGGGCTGTCGCGGTAGCCGTCGTAGCAGTCGTCCTGGAGCTGGTCAGGTGGGGGCGTCTGGCAGTGGCCAGCTGCAGCTGCAGGGGCGTCCACGCGAGACACTTACGCCCCGTCAGCTCTAGGAGTGGTACGCTCAGAGTACCAGGTCTTCGCGTACCGTTCGCTGCCCGTACGTCATTCGCACGGGTGTTAGGACTGGTCAGCCTTGCGGGACGCTTGGTCACACACCGTCCCGCTGCTTCGCCCGTCTGAGCGACGCCTGGCGTACCGTGTTTGGCGACGAGGCTGAGCTCCCTACCTGGGTGGAGCTGCTTGGACAGAGGGTAGATATCTTTGCTCTTGACTATGATGCTATTCTCACTGCCATGTATGCATTGCCTACTAGTGTTGACCGTGCCTGTTACCTGTGCGTACCGCCTGACCCTGGTATAGCGTCTCCTGCTCTGGGTGCTGATGAGGCTGCTGCTCTAGGTGCTGGTGTGTCTCCTGCTCTAGGTGCTGGTGAGGCTGCTGCTCTAGGTGCTGGTGTGTCTCCTGCTCTAGGTGCTGGTGAGGCTGCTGCTCCAGGTGCTGGTGAGTCTGCTCTCTCTAGTACTGCGCCTGCAGCGGTCTTACACACCTTCACCCTTGACTCAGGAGCTTCCCGCTCCTTCTTTCGCGACTGCACCACACTCACGCTGCTTAGTCGGCCAGTTCCGGTCTCCCTGGCGGACCCCTCCGGGGGTCCTGTCCTTGCCCACTACTCCACGGTTCTGCCGTGTCCGGCCGCCCCGTCTGGCTCGCTGTCAGGTCTTTACCTCCCCTCGTTCTCTACGAACTTGGTGAGTGGAGCTGACCTCCAGGATAGGGGGGTTCACCAGTTCACTCCTGCGAGTCAGCGAGTGACTCACTGCACGTGTGCTCGGACGGGCCGGCACCTGGCCACGTTTACCCGTGCGCCTGGCTCGAGTCTGTACACACTGACCACTGCGTCCCCTCAGGTAGCTGCGTCTGCGTCTGCGTCAGGTCAGCTGGCGGCCCCCTGCGAGTGTCGCGCTTTGTCGCACGACACTCTCCTGTGGCACCACCGCCTTGGTCACCCCTCCCTGCCTCGCCTTCGTAGCATGCACTCTCGCTCCCTGGTCTCTAGTCTTCCCAGGTCTCTGCCTGCCCTCCCTCCCTCGCCTGCGCCGCCCTGCATTCCTTGCGTCGAGGGGCGGCAGCGCGCCGCTCCTCACTCCTCCTCGTTCCCTCCCACAGAGGCTCCCCTGCAGACTCTCCACCTGGATGTGTGGGGCCCAGCCCGCGTCCGTGGACAGGGCCACGAGCGGTACTTCCTGCTGGTCGTCAACGACTACACGCGTTACACCACGATCTTCCCCTTGCGCACCAAGGGTGAGGTCCCTGATGTTTTGATCCCTTGGATCCGCACTGTTCGTCTCCAGCTCCGCGAGCGGTTCGAGCGGGACTTTCCTGTCCTGCGTCTGCACTCTGACAGAGGTGGTGAGTTCACCTCAGACCTCTTGGCAGCCTACTGTGCGGAGCACGGCATCCGCCAGACGTTCACGCTTCCGGCCTCTCCGCAGCAGAATGGGGTTGCCGAGCGCCGCATTGGCTTAGTCATGGAGGTCGCTCGTACCTCCATGATCCATGCGGCTGCCCCCCATTTTCTGTGGCC